TTCCCTTATCTCATCAGTGAAGCAAAAATCCAAGCACAAGAGATTCAGAGAACCCCTACAAAACAACAAATGAGAAGACCAACTCCCAGACACATAATTATTTACCTAAACAAAGTAGCTATAAAAGAAAAAATCCTAAAGGCAGCAAGAGAAAAAGACCTGACTACCTACCAGGGAAGACCAATTAGAATAGCAGCAGATTTATCTACAGAAATCCTCCAGGCTAGGAGAGCCTGGAGACCTATCTTCAAAGTTCTAAAAGATAAACAATTTCAACCAAGAATAACCTACCCAGCCAAGCTAAGCTTAATTAGTGAAGGAGAATTGAAATCTTTTCCAGATATCCAATCCCTAAGAACCTACGCTGCCACCAGACCACCTCTACAAGAAACTCTTAAGAAAGTACTGAACACAGATGAAAAGGAAAAAAGAACAACAACATTCTTCACAAGAGTACAGGCAAAAGATAAAAAACAGACATGAACCAACTCCAAAACCAAAAGAAAGACAACAAATAAACAGGAACAACAACTCTGTAAGAACCTTATGACAGGGATCAACTCTTGCATTTCAATTATTAGCCTAAATGTGAATGGACTAAATGCACCACTGAAAAGACATAGAATGGCAAAATGGATAAAATATCACCAGGCAACAATTTATTGCCTTCAGAGACTCACCTCACTAGAAAGGACACTCACAGACTCAAAGTAAGAGGATGGGAAACAAACTTTCAGGTGAATGGAACACAAAAGAAAGGAGGAGCAGCAATCTTAATTTCAGACAAAATACCCTTTGAGTTATTAAAAATTTAAAAAGATACAGAAGGCCACTACATAATGATAAAACGTTCAATCCATCAACAAGAAATATCCATATAAACATATATGCACCCAACATAGGAGCACCAACTTTCACAAGGCAGCTTCTACGTAAACTCAAAAAAGATATCAACTCTAACACCATCATAGCTGGGGACCTCAATACCTCACTCACAACCCTAGACAGATCATCAGGACAAAAAATCAGCAACAAGATCCAGAACCTCAAAATGACTCTTGACCAAATGGACTTAATAGATACCTACAGAACACTCCATCCAACGACCACAGAATATACATTCTACTCATCACCACAAGGAATATACTCTAAGATCGACCACATACTTGGCCATAAATCAAGCATAAGCAAACTTAAAAGGGCTGATATCTTACCATGCACCTTCTTGGACCACAGTGGAATAAAATTAAACATTAACACTGGCAAGGTCCACCCAAAACCCACAAAGACATGGACACTAAACAACATGATGCTAAACAACTCCTGGGTCAACGATGAAATCAAAACAGAGATTAAAAGATACCTG